CAAGAGTATGATGTTTATTGTGACTAGCGTGAATGGGTAAGCTTCGTTTCGACTATGAGCAGTTATCACTGTAAACAATGTTAAATTATTCTTCACATGCTCAGTTTATTTTTTGAGAACAATTATTTAAAAATAAAATCTCTCAGTCAATCAGAAACTCAGATTCATGCCTTCAGGGAAAGTCATGTTTGGACGCTCACATCGATTTGTTTTTCGTTCGGTGGGCTGATGCCTTCAGTGTAGCTTTTGCATCTTCCGACATAGAAATCATCTGAATCTTCTTTCTACCTCTCTTTCTTTTCACACCACGCATAATGTAATGATAAAAATTAAGAAAAAACGCTGAGGAAATATAATGTTTGGTTTGCTAGCGAGCGAGAACTGATTTGAGAATAATTGCAAATGCGCGTGAATTGAATGAACTATGACCCGTACAATCTCGATTTGCATATTGTCAATCAAAATTCTTGTTATTTGGTTACTCATGCAAATTAGGCAATTGGACATAAACATTGCCACGTGTGAGTGTTTTTTATTTTTAACCAGAAAATAAACAGCAATTTTAACGGTGTTCCAATAAGAATTCATTGGTCAAATTTTCACAGAATGTTCTTTAGATAAAAATCTATATAAAAAACGAAAAAAACTATTTTTGATTGAAATTCACAAATAAAGTGCATCTCTACCTTAAAGCAACAAAATAATTGACTTGCAGCCATCATCTTCACATGGCTCTCATCATACCTTAGATGCTGAGGGTGTAGCAAGAGATTCATCAGGAATAGTCAAACCAGCATTTAACCAATCGGTAATCAGCTCAAATAAAGATGATATTCTACCCCATTTACATAAAGAATCCAACATTACACCAAAATATTCCTCTTTAGCATCACCAGACAAACCTTTCAATTTAGATAACACACTGCCACTATGGAAAGAAAATACAATGATCAATGCTATGGGATACAACAAATGACTTATCTTACTGGTATGTTATGTAATATTTTCCGTAATTTATCATTTCAAGTTACCAAAAGTTTAGATTTGCATATAAAACCATTATGGTGATAGAAATGAAAATTTGTCAGAAAGATAATCAAACATGATTAAACTGCCACAGGAGACAAATTCAGAAAAAATAAAATGGCAGTTGTATGTCAAACATGTGAACAACATTCTTACAATGTTTTATTACACTGTTGTGTATGAGGTTCAAAAAGTGTAATAATTTGGCTAAATAATATCACTTATGTGATATACTTTGCAATGAGTGTTACTTCAGTTCTTTTGTATCATTGTGTATCACTTGTACTACATGTATAATGGAAATATGGTATACTTGACGGAGGTAGAATTACAGACAATATATGTATAAGAGAAAACTTACGTGAAATATGGTATACTTGATGGAGGTAGATATCCAGATAAGAAGATGAGGGAATTAACAGCACGATTACTCTGTGAATATTGAAAAAACATATATATTTCAGTACAATAGCCATGACGATGACAATTTGACAGTCTTACTTTATTATCTTACTTTTTAGAATTCTTTATTTTATTTTACTTAAAGTGCCTGTGCAATGCCCACCCTCACGTTTCCCATTTTAGATCTGTGTCCCACTGAAATGGGCAGTTATTGATTTTTTTGCTGAAAATGATTACTCACATCCAAGTAAATTTGGGATATTTCTCGTGTTGTAGCCATGCCCACCTATCCTGAAACGGTCAACTGTTTCCGGATTTCCGACTCTCGCCGAAAGTGCACCACCAAATGACAAAATGTGAGAGGAAGTTATACCCCTGAGCCGTAATAACACTGGTCATTCAGTATACTTTTAAGGTAGCAAGACTATTATTTGTGTTGAAAATAACGATTTTCACATTTATTTATTAATTGATGAAATGCACTATAAACTTTCATATGATAAAGTCAACATAACATAGAATGTCATGTAAGTTGGTTAAAATGTATATTTT